TAATTTAGTGCACTAAGTAAGTCTGTCCCAGGCATGCTGCTGAGAGCTATGCTTTCCCCCCTGATTTTCTCAGCGCTACCAGAGAAGTTCACCAAATCATTCAACTAGTATTTTTTTCGAGAGTACCAGAGAGATCTGCAATAACCAAGGTCCTCTGAGACCGCTTGTCCTTCCTTCTCCCACTGTACTACTGTCACTAACAGTCAAGCACTTCTCTAGGCTCATATTTTTACTTTTTATCAGTGCTCTCTGAGACAGTAAGCAGCTTGTAACAACTGGACAACGTACCTAAGTGCAGCTCATGTAGATAAACGAGGCTGCTGTGTTAGTTCCTGGTTTAGTAGTATATTCTCTTCCAATGGAAGCCTTCCTGAGCATGCAGAACACCTGCCCTAACAGCATCTCACAAAATTACAGCTCTCCTCAGGTTAGATCTGTTAAGCACTCGGACTCTCACCTGGTCCATTCAGGGTCAGTGGAACATGACCACTAGAATACACACAGGATTTTAGAATCATAAAAGTTACAGTTTTTACCTTTGTTCAAGTTGTTTGATGGTGGCAGCCATCTGATTTGTTTTTTCTTCCAAACGGCTGTTTAATTCACTCTTCTGTTTCACTCCCATGTCTGAACTCTAGAAAAAGTAGCATCATGGGGATTTGTTAAGTAGCAATAATCACAGGATCACAGAATATTAAGGGTTGGAAGAGGTCTTGAAAGATCACCTAAGTCCAACCCCCTGCCAAAGAAGGATCACCCAGAGCAGGTCACACAGGAACGCATCCAGGTTTTGAATGTCTTCAGAGCAGCAGACTCCACACCCTCCCTGGGCAGCCTGTGCCAGGGCTCTGTCACCCTCATAGTGAGAAAGTTTTTCCTAATGTTTTTGTGGAACCTCCTGTGCTCCAGCTTGCACCCATTGCTCCTTGTCCTGTCATCCGACATCAGTGAGAAGAGCCTGACTCTGTCCTCCTGACACTCACCCTTTACCTATCTAGAAGGTCACCCCTCAGGCTCCTCTTCTCCAGCTGCAGAGCCCCAGCTCCTTCAGCCTTTCCTCCCCAGGGAGATGTTCCATCCCTCCATCATCCCTGTGGCTGCGCTGGACTCTCTCCAGCAGTTCCCTGTCTCTCTGGAGCTGAGGGGCCCAGAACTGGACACAACATTCCAGATGTGGCCTCACCAGGGCAGAGCACAGCCTTCTGGTGTGTCAGCCACTGCTCGTGGAACGAAAATGGCAGAAGAGCCAGAAGAAGGTGCTCAACAAACAAATGCCAGGTCAATATTGCCAAGACACATCTCGCCATGCAGGCAGAGGCTACACCTGGACACCACACAAGGACAATGCCATAACCAGCGAAGCTCCCTGCAGAATGTGTATTAATGCAGTACCTGCTAATATCATTCAGCTGGTTTGCACAGAACGATTCACTCAAAGAGAGCAGAAGCAACCCTTTGCTGACCTCAAATTCATTTTAGCATTTCCTTCTGAGCGTTTTGTGTTGCGCTTTTTTGCCTCAAAATCTGCTTTTGTCATCCGGCAGTGCTGTATTTAATTACACTATATGCCTTCAAACATGAGATTGTACTAGAACACAAGCTACCATAGCTCAGTTTTCACACACACACATTTCTGGACCATCATGAGTCCTTCTTCGGAGGAAATTGCCTTTGTTTCTAACCCCCAACATGTTCAGTTGTTCACATGTTACAGTTCTCTTGCCCCAAGACAGATGCATGCCTGTAACCCTTCCGCATCTTTTAAATACACAGGAGGGAAAATAAAGAGCAAGAGCTACCACATTTATCTGGAATTCACCGCATTTAATTTAATTACTTCCCTACCTGCAGCTTGAAAGACAGTTCATGCTTTAGGGCTCTGAGGTCGTCCAGTTGCTGTCTGAGTGCCACCAGCGCATCTTGCTTCTCACACACATCTTTCTCCAGCATCTTCATGGCTAGCTCCATCTCCTGCCGCATCCCGATCTGCGCCTCCAGCTCTTTTTCCACATCCTGCATCACAGGGATCCGTCAGCATTACCAGCCAGCGCTCCGCACCACCGGCGAGAGAACGGCCCTTCCCGAGTGCTCCTGCCCACGCAGGCACTACCCAGAAGCATGCTGAATTGCCACAGGGTCACGCTTACAGAGCTCACCCCCAAAGGCAGTCAAGGACAAAAAAACCCCAAAACTACACATTTTCAGTCCAAAATTAAAGCAATGTAAGCAGCATTACTAGTAAAGTACCACACAGACCCATCTTTCTGATACAGGGGACTAGTAAAAAGCCACCAGAATTTATTTGGAAAAATGCTCAGGCATTCTTCTCCCCACCAGCTCAACACCAGGCTGAACCAAAGTTCAGATAGTGGGATTATCTATATTTGCATGGGGGCTGGGTCAGACCTTGAAATGCAAGTGCACTGCCCGTTCCGAGAAACAGACCTCAAACTGATCAGGTACAGCCACAAAATTAACATAACTCCTGATGAGACTGTCTCAGATCCAGCTGAAGCAGACAAGCGAGAAAGAAAAATATCCCCATGGCAAATATTTTCAAAAGTGATTGACGCAGAGTTGTTACGCGAAAAGGCCATTCCTAGTGAGCTACAAATTCACGCCATCCTTACCAGTCGCAGCTGAGTTTCCTCCTTTAACTGTTTCCGTGCCTCACTCAGCGCATGCCCATCAGCAGTTCTGTCTTTAGTGACCTAAGGTAATGAAGACACCCAATTAACTTGTCATCGCATACTATTATTTGCTTATCATTTGCTTTACCCACCACTTTGGATACAAATTCTGCAGCCACGAGAACTCAGAGCTCTGTTCAGTTAATGCTGCGCACAGCTTCCATGTGAAGTAACTGTTTGCCCATTTCCCCAGGTGCTCAGTGCACTTCAACAGACGTGAATTAAAAGAGACACTGTCCATTTTCGGAGCTTTCACACTATACTAAGTACAGTTATAAAACTTCAGAAAAAAGCCTTACGGATTTTACAACTAAAACCAGATTCTGCCACAGCTACTAGGACTTTCAATAAATAATTTAAAAGATGATAGATGCTCCCTCTTGATTTCTGAAAAAGGCAGCATCTCAGGCCTAAAAAGGCTAACTCCTACATCCAAATTTTTCTGCCACCTCTCACAAAATCATCTTTTGCTCCTATCCCTTCTGACACCTGGACCCAGCCAGCCAAGAGCACGGCACATTAGCTCTTGGCTCTGTGCACGCTCAGTTTCATCAGCTATGGCCAAGCAGGATTTACTGAGTTCAGAGTCCATCTGTTGTAACCCACTGCTAAGAATCCACCTGGAGTCTCTCTCCTCTGTTGCAGTTTTTGTGTGATATAACAGGAAATAAAGTCTCTTTCAGATACTGACTTTTTGGTCAGGTTTGGGCTGGGACTGCCCAAAAAGTTCAGTAAGCGCTCCCACATACCAACCTTACGATTGGACTCTAAGATGTAAGAACTTTCTTCTTTAACCCGTTCCATCTCTTCTTGCAGAGTAATAATCCTGTTGTTTGCAACCGCAAGCTGGGAATAGAACAACAGCAACACATCAAACATATGCTTGACTATTTTTTTTTTCATTTCGAGGCACACTCAAAGTGAGGGAAAAAAGGTATTTGGAGCGGCAAAAGACAAATCAGCCTCTACCATGGAGAAAGACTCCGTGAAAATGCATCAGTTGGTGCCAGCATAATGGATGTCCAATATCAGCTGAAACAGACTTCCCAATTCATCTTTTGGTAAAGTTATTGACTTGTTGAGGCTCTACCTGCTAGGCTCACTGTAACATGTGGTTAGCGCAACTCAACAGGAATCCCCACTCCATTCCCCTTCCCTTGCCAAAGATAACAAAACAGAAAAATGTGGGCACATGGCAGGTAACTTTAGTTGACTTACAGCAACTAAAGAACATTACCAGAGAAGAAATACTTCTGAGGGTTTGCTAAAACGTTGGTCGTTCGGGCACACTGCTAGGGAGAGCATCTGAGACGCAAGATGCTCAAGCATTTGGGTAGGAGAAGCACGATGGAACCTCATCAGAGGGAGAACACTTGGCTGGAAACAGAGGCTCAGGAGCACACACCAGCCTTACGAGACAGGACATCTGCCTCGGAGGAATTCCGAAGAATTGATTTCTGAAAAAGGTAGCATCTCAGGCCTAAAAAGGCTAACTCCTACATCCAAATTTTTCTGCCACCTCTCACAAAATCATCTTTTGCTCCTATCCCTTCTGACACCTGAAGACATCATCACAGACTAACGGGTATTTTGAGCATGTGGTCAAAGGCCAAAGCAAGTCCAGAAAAATCCTTCTGGCCTTGTAAATACTAACTTACATAAGCCTCGCACACAGGGAAAGCTCAGTGCCATTCCAAGAGGTCAGCAATGTTATTAAGTGACAAACCCAAACAGAAATTACCCTGGTAAAAGTACAAGTCCATGGTACAGTGCAAGCCAAATTCACAAATGGAAGTGACATGTGACGCAGCTGGTAAACTACACTCTGCGAAGAGGCCTGGCTGGCACAGGATGTTCCAGTGCCACTTAAATTCTTTCTCTGAACAGCGTGCAGAGTTCACTAAGATACAAACACGCAAATTATTAAAAATGAAAGAATACTTCAGTCAATACTGCAATTAATCTCACAGGTACCATGGCTAATGGGCACAGCACTCATACTCTGCAGGTAATAAATCAAAAGCCACTTATGGCAGCAGCACTGAGAAAGGCAGCCTCTAGGGCAAACTACCTTTTCAAAATCAAAAAGGTATTTTAATTGTGAAAAACATTTCTTTCTCCTTAATTGCAGGAGTGGATACAGTAATTTCCATTGCTGAAGCTTCCCAGCATTTGGAAAACATCCATTAGAGTAAATGTTCAATCAGCAGACCCACAGACCTCCCTTAACGAGGGTGAACAAGCAAAGAAAAATCTGTTTCATCTTTGTAACACACTGAGACGTGCCAATCAAAATCGCTCTGCTGAGATAAGTGATTTGCAGACAGAGATACTGTAAAACCGTTTGGATGAGACCTACTGTCACCTATTTTGTTACATGTATGCCATTATGAATGAACTGCAAAACAGAGCTTACACCTACAACTCATATACACACTCTTCTTCACGCTCGGCCTCAACATTTTGTCTATAATGGTAAGTTTTCCCTTATTTCTCGGAAATTGAGACAGACTAGAGAAAAAGCTATTGAAGCATTTCAATTATCTCTACACCATGGTAAAGTTCTGCACCTGTCAAAATAAACAGACATTTAAAAATTTCTTTGTCACGTCTGGACATGACACTATACAATTTATTCTAAGATATGTTCCAAAAAGCAGAAAGCATTTGAAGACTTCAGAAGGATTAAATGTATTCAACAGCTCTTGGTTTTCAGCAAACATTCAGTTGTTTTTCCACCTCATGCTTAGTTGAAGTGACAGCAGCACAGTATAATTCCTTGGCAGGTAGTTATTCCAGTCCAATCATTAAACATTCTACTTTACATAAACCAGAAATCTGAAAATAACTGTGCTCCTTTACCTATTTAATCCCCAATTCCAAAAGGCCAAAACACCAGATGATTTTCTATTACACTTACCTCCTCAGTCAGTTTAGTGTTGGATTTTTCTAAAGCATCCACCTTGGCCTGTAGGTTGTTTACTGTAGCACTGTTGAAGAGAAAAACACTCTACAGTAATTCCTTATTTTTAAAATCCTGTTGTCTATTTTGTTATACCATACAACAAAGAAAAAATATATTATGTCTTGCCTTAAATGCCTATTGAGTTCTTCTACATAGTTCTTCTGGTCCAAAATAGCAGTTATCTGACCATCTCTGGAAAAAAGAAATCATTCAGCTCAACCATTTGGATTCAAAGAACTAGGAGACACCAGTAAAGGTCTAAGAAGACACGTGGTGATATAGCCCAGGTATCCAGCACGACACCAAGACCCCAGGTCTCAGCAAGCCTATGGGATGTATACGGTACAGCAAAGCTGAGTTCAGCCTACGCCTCCCCCCGACTTCTCTGAACCTGCAGTTGTTACAACCCCCTGGGTGACATATTAAAGCAGACAACATTTCCAAGAGTACAGCTGTATTTTGAGGAAACAACCCTGCTTTTGCACTATGTTTACACTGCACAAGAGGCACCTCACCAAAACCCACTCAAGGAAAACTGCCAACAAGCACATGTTTTGCCTGCACTTCCAGCAGGAAATCTTAACGAGAGACAATAATGTTCTAAATATGACACTACAGGTAAAATAAAAGCTATCAAAACACCTGATCCTAGAGGATAATTATTAAATATATGCCTGAAATCAAGCTGGCAGGACTTCCTCCGAAGGAAGAATTACTCTTGAACCTCAGCACACTGCCACACCTGATCCACACGTCTGTGTGCCCGTGCTGAATTTCCAACCACATGCTCTGAACGTTGCATAGTACTTCAGAATGTTGTACAAGTCCTTTAGACTCTTATGACAGTTAAGATCTTGGTCAACTGGAGAATTGCTTTCTGCTTTGTTTTTTAACTAAGGATGTTATGGTGCCAAAAGCCAACTACTATCCTGCTAGTCACACAACTGGTAAAGGCTACGAAGTCGCTTACTGATAAAACTCAGCAGAGGGTCACTTTTGAAATATTTTTATCTTCCATTGCCAGTTAAGGAAGAACATACAGAAATTCTGAGAGTCCCCTGCCCTTTCCCAGTATTTCCAGTATCTTATATATATATATATTATGGTTTATCATAGAAGAGCAATTCAATCTAAGTGGCTTTTTGATTAAAAATGTACCAGACTGCAGAGCAACCCAGATGACTTGAATCAAAGTTACCAAGAGATAAGAAGTGGGACAACTGAGTGTGTACCTACCCTTCACTGCCTTTTGTGCTGTTCCCATCTTTCAAATACATCGAGAAATCAATAACTCCAACCTAGGCAAGAAAAAATTGCATTTCACGTGAAACACTTTTTCTAAGGCTAAACTTTCACAACTATGGACAGACTTCACAGTCAGAACATCCATATGTGTTACGCTATAGCAAGGACTCATTATACCAGTAATCCTTCCAAAATGAATGAAAACACAGACTATTTCAAGAAAAAAACCAAAACAAAAAACAAACAAACAAAAAAAACCAGGAGAAGCAGCACATTGGCAAGCAAGTCCTAGGACATAAGGATAAAACATTACCATGCCCATATGTGTATATACCCTGCTTATACAACATAGTTGCACACAGGCTCATTTTCTTTTAACAGCTACAATGATCTCATCACACAGCGTGAGTGAATTAAGTTCTGTTCATTTCTGCCCTCGGTTTGGCCAAGTCCTTCCCCATATTCACCTTCTTTTTCATTTACTACATTTCACTCCGCAGTGGCCTGGTGCAGACCACAAAGCGTAACAAAGAGAAAACCAAAATCCTGAGCCTCTGATCTCCGCGCTGTCAGCAAACTGAAGATCACAAGCCTAGTAACAAGCTTATATTAGTCTTTATTACATAGAGTAACTGAAAATTCTTCCGATTTAAATGAGCAGAAAAAACACTGACTGCATAGCCCATACCTGTGAGTCCAGGTCTTCTCCTTTCATGCAGAAGTTTGCATCGATGACATTCAACCCTACGAGGAGGCCAGCAATGATCGCACCCTCTTCCTCCATCATCAGGGCATTAGGCTCATAAAACTCACTGTGGGATGCACGGCAAGAGAAAACAAGTGTTGCATCTTGAAAAGTGAACTAAAATCACATCAACTAGCATGGGAATTCTGTGATTTCATATGACAACACAATGCAAGCTCAGCCTTAACAAAAACCCACGCAGTGGCACAGAGTCCACATGGAAACGCAGTCCTGGCTACTACCAGCATATGCCTGCTCTGACTGAAGCACCCTCCCTTAGCACAGGGAATCTTTCAGTGAAGCAAAGACTCAATAAGTAGGAGACTTGGTCCCTCATCGTTGCAAAGTGATGGAAAGCAAGGACCATTCTTGAGTCACCGTACAGCCCGCTGAAGATTTAAGACTGATTTAAGAAGACTTAAGATTTAAGACAATCAGAGTTGAAGTAGCACACTTTTACTCATCTATTACATGGTGTTATTAACACAAGCCATCGCCACATTTTTCAGGGGACAATACCAAGTTCTCCTTTCTAATCACAAGTCAGCTATGGATTTACATAGACAGACAACAAAAACCTACTTGTTTGAGAAAAGAAATACAAACATATTTATTAAACCCTACTGCTTTATGCAGACATAGTCGTTCCAATGCAGTTTCAACCAAGCTACAACATTATTGCTGTTTAATGAACAGGAAGCAGAGATACAGACAAGTTAAATGACTTGTTCCAAGACAGGTGGTACTGAAATGACAAGATCAGAAGTAAATCCAGGACCAAGATTTTACACACAGACAATGCTGTATCCCCTCTGTACAGGTATTTCAACCAAATCACCTCTTTGAAACTAAAATTTGTGTTTATTCTAATAGTAATGTTTACTCTAATGGTAATGGATATTTGCGACCAAGTGGAGAAATAACAGCTTTTGAACCAAGAAGCATCTTCAATACCTCACAGGAAGCTCTGCATTTCACAACTATTAGCTTTTCTCAAAACAAGTACATGCATGCTTTACCATTTGAGTATAAAAAGACAGACAAGGGTGCAGAAGTGAATTTAACCTAAACTGAGAGCGAACTCAGCACTCACCTGAGAAGATCCTTTCTGTTAATCAAGGCTTTCATGTACTCTGAAAGTTTCTTCTGCATCAGAGCCAGGCGAAGCCAAGCTCTTCCTCTACCCACAGGCGTCCTACAAAGGCCAGAAACAACACGGTTACAGACATCCCGCAGCACATGACCTCACACAGCTCTAACAATCCCATTCCCTCTCCAGTTTCTGCATCTCCAAAACAGGTGTTAAGGTGGGTGAGAAAGCACCAATTCGGTACCGTTCTCTTGGATTATTTTGCTCATTAACACACTCACAGGACTCAATGGGTTATAGTCACGGTCCCTCCTCCGTTTCTGCTGGCAGTGGGCAGCAGGCAGCTTTAAACACATGGCAACTGATTCACTGCGTCACAGCCCTGGCTTAGCTACCCTGGCCCGCTGGCCAGGAGCCAGCACCAGACGCTCCCAAAGCAGGCACCAATCCCCCACAGGGAGCGGGATTCTGACGAGAAAGAAATTTCCTTTCCACCTCCAGCAGTCACTCAGCTGCCTTATACCCAACAGCACTTAACTTTCTAACCTTCACTGCTCTAAGCAGCAACTGCCCACACAAGTCATGTTCATGACACCTCGGTCTTGACATCACTAACGCTTAACATAACATTTCCCAAGGGTCAGTATGAATGTAAGGTTTGAAAACTTATTTTTAAACTGTTCTTCAGGTCCATTTATTTAACGTTTCAGTATTCTTGTGCAAGAGGAAAAGGTAACAGGGGCTCTGGCACAACACTGCTGGTGCTCCATGCTGGTCCTGCGTGCGTTCCAGGAGTCCTGCACCGATCTCCAGTAAAAGCAGTTGTCCGTCTGTACATCACTAAATACTAATGCGAAGGAAACTGTTATTTAATCTATTCCTCTCTTCTTTCAGCAAAGAAGATGGAATCTTTAGTCCTGCTGCTCATACAGAAGCTTCCTTATATCTTTTTTCTCTTCTCCACACTGAAAGCCTCTGAAAGTTTCTTTTTAGCAGCGAGTAGGCCAACTTGAATGCGATGTCTGAAATGACTACAAAATTTTTAAAAGCAATATACGTTTCAAGCGCTTTTTTTCCTCCCCTCTTTGACATAAGCCAGTATCTTCACCAACGTGGTGACTGAGCTTCGCTTTTAAACAAACTTCAAAATTTACCTGAATTTATTTAAAAGAAAAATTGCCTCTGTCAACCTCTAAACTATTAAACCTGTAATCACCCTCCTGCCAATTCCCTTCCTCTTCTGTCTGACTTCAGAAATAGAGTCAGTAAAGGCTGTTCCCATTCTCAAGACACATCATCACTCGTTTCGTGCTAACAAGAAATGCATTATTGTCCGTAAGACCCCAGGCACTTAACACACATAGAATATACCCTATTGTAGCCTTCTGCGAATTCTCAATTAAGAGAGCAACGAGCCGTTTTTATCAACGGAAGGCAGCAGATGCATTCCTGAAGGTGATGTTTGCCCTTCCATCTCTTGTTTAGGGTCCTTCTCAGAAGAAAAAAACCCACATTAGGTACTTGTAAAATGCTGTACTTACTTCAGTCCTGGGAGATCTTTAACACTTGCTGTAATCTCTGCAGCCTCAGGAACAAGTTTTTCTACTAGTTCTAGAGGTCCCCAGAATGACTTATTTTGCCCAAGAAAAGTCTTTTTAGCTAGAAAAGAGAAAGATATGAAACCATTAAGCCTGTGCTGACTAAACACATTCTCAAACATGGTCAGAGGGGAGTGAACAGTAGACAAAAACCACCAGAAAGAATCTTCTGGGACTGCTGCTGAGCAAGTACAAAAGAAGTCGTTTTATGCCCAAGTGTGGCAATTACTGGTATGGTTCAAACAAGGCAACAGAACCTCGAGACAGATGTCAGAAAATATTCCACACAGCCCAAGTATGCCAAAACAACAACAACCAGTGATAACCAGCAACTCACATTCACTGCCTGGGGTCCAGCTTTCTACTGGGATGCTGTCGCTCTCCTCAAATTCCATTTGCTGTGAGCACAGTAATTTTCTCTCACTGACCACCACATCACATCACATTACTAGGAAAAGGACCACACCATCGTGAATCTATCACTGCTTCACAGCTGCTGGGGGCTTCCAGGGCACCCTTTCCTCCTTCAGAAAAGCTTTCTAGGGACCCTTAGGTGCTAAAGCTGGAAATTACTTTTTTTCTTCCATAGTTCTTACTGCTACTGCACAACAGCAATGAGAAGACCAAGAACTTTGTTAACTTCAACCTTACAAGCAGTGGTAGGGACACTGGCAAACAGATAAACAGAGTATCTGAAGAATATGACTGCTTTGCCCTTGCACAGTGTCACCCTAACCCGCCCAGGGACCACTCCTCCCCACGTAAGGCTGAACACAACTACTAAAGAAGCGCTACAGGGCGTACGTTCACGGGCTCAGAGAACATTTAATAGCCTCTGCTTCTCCTGTCAAGCTACTACCACACAAGGGCAACACATCAAGAACAGCAGAGTGATACTTTGCAATTTTAGTCGTGACTCTGTATTATAAAGTACAGGCTCTGCTTGCTCTTTTAGAAAGCAGCTTCCAAGTCACCAGCTGCACAAAGCCAAACCCTTCAGTTTTGATAGAAGTACTGAGAAAAGACCTCCGGGATGCAGCAAGAGGACTGATCCATCGCTACAGCATGAGGAAGTTCAGGGAGGGGGGGAAAAAAAAAAAAAGAAAAAAGAGGAGTCATGAATTTGCTGAGAAGCTAACTTTATCACTGACCACTTAGTTATACCCGAGTCATCTGCAAAACTGTTTTAAAAATGGCCAATGCCTGCAAGAACCAAGAACTTTTTGCTTGCAGTGTTACACCTTCAGCAAATCTTTTTCCCTTCCCAGGGCCTGTCAAGTCAACCGTGATCATTGCAGTGACCCTGCTCAGCCCCTCTTCAGTCTACTGTAGAGTAAAAAAGTAGATTTTTAAACCAGAATTGCTCTTTCTTGCTCCAACGCTATGACAAACAGCCCAGGAGGAGCCCTCCCAAGCAAGGTTACCTTTCAAGCCGTGTTTAAGGCAATGTTCCATCACAACGAAGAACTGCTGAAGAGGTGCATAGTCGGAGTCCAGCGTCCTGCCCAGATTAAGCGCCGACTCGATCAACCCCTTGATACTCAGTTTTGCCATGTTCATCAGGTTCATGCGTTCATTAGCCATGAGATAATTAGGATCTATTGAAAAAAAGAGGAAGAAAAAAACTGTTGAGTAACAAAACCTATTTTTAATACAATAAAATATCCCATCTCTCTCGCTCTTTTTGTTCCTCAGACATTTTTAGGGGCAGTGACAGTTTCATGCCAGGCACTCTTTTCAGGCCTTTGGTTGAGAAAAATCAAATTAACTAGCAATCAATGGCCTAAGCCACAACGGCACCAGAACAGGACATGTATCACATTAAAGGTGCCTCAGTGCTTCGGGTAACTACAAAAGGTTTAAACTTTCCAGAAAGAGAACTCTGAAGACAGTTAATATCATGTTTAACATTTAGTAATGTGTGGTCGAGATGTAAAGACCATCGCCTGTTCCAACTCAAATCCCCAGTTACGTCCAACAACAACAAACCGGCAAGAATTCTCCATTTGTGATTTTTCTTCTACCAAGATAACCATGTGTGCCCTCACATTCAACCCAGTACTGCGTCTCTATCCAATCTTGCATCTTTCCACCGCACTGTTTATTTATTTTTTTAACTTGGATGTGACATGGAGCCAATTCCCACCTACCTCTCCATTTTATCAACACTACGGGGTTTTTTTACTACTGACAATAAGGAGCTGATCTTGATGGCTCCTCTAACAGCTTGCCCTAAGTGCCAAGACACACAGATCTTCCGCGGCTACATTCTTCCTCTACCATATTATAAATATAGAGATCTTGATACTTGCTCGTAGCTTCTAATTGCAAGAAACCGATTCAGACATCTATTTTCCAGTCTACACCCTGCCCGCAGGCCTCCTGCTCCCTGACCCGTACAAGGTGCCCAGGCCAACACCCAACCGTTCACCGAGCGCTCCTCTTCCCAAACACCATCACTGCACTTCCCAACACCTCAGCAAACAAAACTTTACAACAGGACTGCCCAGAAGTAGAGTGAAATTTGCCCTACGCACACAACAAATACTGTGCTTAAGCTTTAAGCCTGGAGATGAACAGTAATAGAAAATCTGGCTACCAAAATAGTGTTGCATGAGCTGAAAGTCACCTGTTTGAATCTCTTGCACTTGCAATCCCACACCCAATTTTCGAGCTGCAGTTATTTGGTGCAAGCAGTTCCATCCCTGTAAGGCACGTTTATTCCAGGGCTGCTATTAACAGCCAGGGACCCTTCAACCAATTTGCCACCTCCACGAGTGAATTTACCACTCCTAGTGGCAGAAACAGGACCAGAGGACACCTAAGACTACATATCTAAGCACAGGGTACGCACTTCATCTGCTAGACTGACAAAGCATGCCTGCAGCCAGCAAACAAGTCAAGCGAAAAAATATCAGAGACTGAAAAGCTTTGATTAAAACAGGAGTTATATTCCTGTTTAAAAGGCAGGGGAGCACATAGCTAAGTTTGATGAAAGAAGCCATAAAAATATGTAGAAATTCAAGCAGTGGAAAGATGGCTGCTCCTGACAGCTCTGTGGAGTCCCACCCCCCAGACCCACCCAGCGACACTCAGCACTGTCGGGGTGTTTCTCAAGCTGTTTTGACACACAGACAGCTGAGATCAGTTCCTACACCTCCCCTTTAAACATCTCTCATGGTGAAAGAGGAGGGGAAGAAACTGGCAAGTCCAGTTGCTCAAAAATTAATTCCTTGTCATCTCAAGTGCTCTGCCGCTGCAACGAGGCATCTCATCAGCATCCGCCTGATCAAGAGAGAGCAAGGAGCAAAACTTGACAGAACAAGAGAAAGATGTAAAATCACAGCGTTCGCACTTCCAGTCTTGCTGTCTCCCACAGACTGAAAAGCGCTGTAGGGAGTAATATTTGACTTCAGTAATCTGTAGCAAGAAGAGGAGTAACTGCTACTGTGTGACTGAGACTCCTTACAGTAGACAGAAGGAGACACTGAAAGGCACCTCATGGATGGGAGCTGAAAAGCAGCTGCCCAAGTGGAGACACAAACATCCTCAATCCAAGAACCTGGGAAATTATGAAAAGGAATCGTAAGAGAGCAACACAGCTGCATTTGACACATCTGTCTCTGAAGCTCACCATGGTTAGGTTGCCCATGGCTCCAAGGGCGGCTGGAACCCAGGCCGAGGAGGTGTTCTTATTGCTGCTTAGTTTTGGGTGGCCGGTGTGCCAGAGTACAGGCTGTTTTTACCAGGGATGCTGCTGCAGACTCAAAGAAATACCCAGACCTAGCACTGTGCCAACAGCACTAACACCACTGGACTACACATGATTAAAGCTGAGGGCTGTGAAATAATTGACATTACAGGGAGAGCTGCCACCATTCAAACCTGATACCAGGGCTGCACTTGTTTAGGCCCTCCAAATGCAGGTCAGGGCAAGGCCTCTCTTATCCTCTCTCCCCTCCAGGATGGAGCAGCACCACAAGTCTCCTTCTCTAAGTTTCACTGGAACTGCATCCTGGAAGCTGCCACACGGAGCTCTCAAGGAGGGAAGATGTCTGACGGGGAAAGGGAGTGTACAGCCAGCACTAGGCAAGGCTGAGGGACAAGTGAGCAAAACCTTCCGGGAGTTTGGTGTTATTAACCATACGCTCTTCAAGCATTGGTTATCTTGGCTCAGATTTTGAAAAACGGCTGAGATTAGGCATTTACAATTTATTTTCCTAGTTTCAAAGTACTTACTTAGGACTGCAATTCTCATACCAGCAGTGGACTGTAGAAATATTTAATTTAGGAGATCATTTCTATTGCCTTTGCAGAACTACTGCTATTTCAAACTGATAGATTTGGCAAGCACATCGAGCAGATTACCTGTTTTGCGATGTAGCTAATAGGCACCAGTACTAAGAATGTGGACTCAAGAAAAGAAAGGCAGATAGAATACGATGCACCACTGCAGAAACTAATTTTTCTACACACAATTAAAAAAACCAACCCACAAAATACATCAACTTCTGCATATTTTCTTCTGTGTACTTCTGCATAAAACTAACAAACACCACCTCTGACAGCATCCGGCACAGTTGCCCTTTGAGACTACCTGAACACAGGACAGCGTTTGCTTCTATCACAGATAACTACTGACACAAAACTGTGCTTTGCCACAAAACCACTCAGAACAAGATTATCTGGTAAAAGAAAACATCAATCCATTTCCTCGATACTCCTGTAAGCACAAAGTCATCTGCAGTATATCCACACTTCTGGCCAAGACAGATAAGCGCAAATCTCCAGTAGGTTTGAACTAGCCGAGGCAGTTTTTACACGTACCCTGGTAAAGTAACAGATAGGCTTTTTGGGGTTCAACACAAATACACTTGGAAGTCTGGGCTGAAGATGATTATTTGCCTGGCAAGGCTTTGAAGAGAAACTCCTAAGCATATGCCTGCTCAGCTCAAGAGCGAGATCAGATCCTTCTGAAAAGCCGAGTAGCCAGCTAGCTACAACGTGCCGACTTTCCTGTCAGCACACTCAGATTAGGAAAAACATTAGTACCAGCTCCTCAGACTATGAAATCATGCACACATGTATCATTTCAGATAAACGTGGAAAGCAAACCCCTAGATCAATTAAGGACGTTGATCATTTCAACATCAACAGGTATTTTTTAAGCTGCTCCCTCCTGACACTCCATTGTATTCAAATGCCTCGCCTGCCTTCCCACAGCACAACCCCTGACACTGCCTGAAGGCAATACACATTTTGCATATCACGTAAACACTCTCTTAAAGGTAAAGCAGTGACGGTAATAATAAAAACGGCATGACTATTCCCAAGAGAAAAGCAAAAGCACGTGTTTCGTTCATGTTTCATTCTATTAATTTTCTGCTTCTTTATTCAAAATCCAACCTGTCTACTTTGAGGGACTGTAGACAAACCAGAAAGTAACTGGACTAGCCCCATCTTACAAAAATGAAATTGCATTTCCTAAGAGAAGAAACATTTTCACAGAGAGTTTGAAAGGGTGATTTTGTTCTCGCTATTACGTCTTAATTCTGACTCTTGTGGGGGAAAGCACACTCCACATCAGGCATCCATCAGCCTCTGACCGATCCCGGAGGAGAACAGTTTCCCGCATGCATCAGGCATGTAACACTTGAAAAAAACCAAACAAATCAGAATGAAGCTGTGGGCATGGAAAACAAAGACAGAAGCACAAACAGACAAGACACACATGCCAAATGTATCCCACCTCGACAATCAAAATGGGGAAAAAAATCTGTACCATGTTTGATGGGGGAAAAAAAAGTCTTAAAGTCTTTTTTTTCCTCGGAAAGACTCCCTTGGCTATGCCCTCAGCTGGGGAAGCAGAATTAGCTGGTGTAGAGAGCTCATCTCCCGTGGCTGAGTGTTTACGAGGCCACCAGGCAGAAGCCAGGCACGTAACCAACCACAGCCGTTAAAAGCTCGGTCCACAGAAGATGACCATCAACACATCGGCGTAGTTACTGCATCAAAACTCCGTTTTATGCACAACACACCCTCCTTAGAAAGATTTATATCATCTGAGTTGCCAAATAGTAATAAAAATAAATTTTTTACGTTTTGGCTGATTTGGCGTTTTTCTTCTGCCAGAAACATGCTTAGAACTATCTGCAGCGAAAGGCTTGTCCTAAGTGAGTCCCAAACGTAGCTGCATTACAGCATGATCCTGAACTATCGATTATTATTCTTGTAATAATTGTAACTATTTTCAAACCAGTGTTGCTCCTACTTTACCCTCTATTTGTAACTCTGAGTGCATAAAACAGACCTGCTTCAATTAATTTCACTATTTTGCTTTCTCAAATTGCACTTTTAAATTGCTTACCCGTGCTATCGAGAAATCACGGCAGCTTTTAGTTAATGTCCTACCAGTGACACCTAGACCTAACCTGAATAAAAACACTGGTAAGAAAACAGCCGCCGCGAGACCAGAGATCTGCAGCACCTTCACAAACACTCAATGCACAAAGTGGCAATAAGAGCAGAAATTATTCCGCTGAGCAGGAGAACAGCAGGACTCAAACTCACAAGTTCTCTGTGTTTAGCTTCCAATTTGTGATTGCCATTTTACAAGAATTTGGCCTATATAAGCACCCCTAACCATTCTTCTACACCAAAATCTGTAACTTTTCCTAATCATGAGCACTTAAACTTCTCAGCAACAAAAGGAAAACTTCCTTCTTATTTCTTTGCCTTTGTGCTTATTTCTTTGCCTTTGTGCTTATTTCTTTGCCTTTTGTGCTTTAATCCTGCTTTAATCCCAAGCAGGAACAGTTGTAGTTAGTTAACGAATTTACTTGAGCGCATGCTGAATTGGAGATTCAGTTATTTTACGCTTGCACCATAGTGCTAAAAAGCACTATTAAAAAAACCTCATTTAGTACTTCACAAGTTTTAATTAAAATTTGCAACACAACTTCTAGAGACACTTGTGCAAAGTCTCAAGTTGATAAACAGAAATATTTCAGAAAAATCTGAAGCTTCTGGGTGGCTTCTGAAATATTTTTTACAATTTAGCGTCCATATATTGCTGCAACTTTTTAAACTGTGTTTCTGTCAGGCTCAGAAAACAATTGCCTCAGAAAGCACGTAAGTACACTAAGCCCTGGTTAGTTCACTCTTTTTAGCTCTTCTTGAAGTCAAAATACCCCAAAATCTTAGAAAGATCTTGTAAAGCAACACTGGATGCACATATTTTGAATAAAAGAGATGAATACGAATTTAGAAACGAAAAACTGATCGCATGGTACCCATGAAGGCACAGCTCAAATTTAGAAGAAATGCCTTCACGATACGCATTGTAAATGTAAATTAATACAATTGCGAGAGCAACAGATACACTGGAGTGGTCAAAGACATGTTCTTTAGGAGCAGAAACATCTGCACACAGTGCAACTAGAACAACATGTTCTGGCTGTGAACCTGGTTTGACCAGACTAACGTGTTCAGAAAGCCACAGCTCTTGGCACCGGAAAGGAAACCCGGATCTTGCACTCTGGCTGAAAGTAATAAGGCAAAAGCCAATCATGAGTGGAAATAAAAGCTGAAAGATGTCGGTGTGGCACGCACCTTCAGTATCATCACGCAATTGCTCCACCACATCTGTCAAATCCTCCCAAGAGTCTTTGCAAACAGCAAAAAGAAAGGAAAAGAAAGAAAATGTCATGCAAGCCATGATCGAAAGGGAAGATTCAAAATCAAGGTACAAGAAAAGGGTAACTGAAAGGGAGATTTGCATAATACAAGACTTAATTCTTAGGGGCAAGAGATTTGCAAATCAAAAGGGTATATTAGTCTGCAACAGCAATAGAGCAAAGCGTTTTTTCTCCTTGAGAGTCAAATTAAGGCAGGCTTCCGTAAAGCTTTAGAAGCTGCGGTTCTTTCTGCATTAAGACAAGCAACATTTTTGTAAAGCACATCCTAAAAAGAAAAGCAAGAAAAGCATTATTTTGTTTGCAAGATCAAAGTGCTAAACTTTTCATATTTATGCAGTATCAGCATTTGCTTCCATTTCCTCCTACCCAGCCTCCTTAAAGAACCCCCGCAAGTGGGAAAAACAGCCACCCATGGAAAGCAAGCACGTTTCAGGAAAAGGACATACTGAGGACATTTTAAATAAGGGTAAAATAGAGCTTTAGCTCCATTCCAACCATCACTCCAAACTAAATGTCTTGCAGAGGGGATGCAGCCAAGTCTGGTCACAGGTCACAGGTTGGTTGTCGGCATTCTGGTGACGGTTCCCTAAGGAACACACCTCTGGCTCCTTGTGGGAGCCTGCAGGCGGGTTACAGGCACGGCGAGGAGGGAGGGATCCCAGAAGAGGAGCGAGCAGGACCAGGCAAACTTACTTCAACACGCTCACCAATTCCCTGGGCGTTAAACTCAAACAAAGCCAGACAAAGGCCCAGAAGGTCTGAACACTGTAGCATTTTCAGTTCCCTACTTACGTGCCCGCTAACCTGCAGTTGGGTGAAGGTGCAAAGCACAGGAAAGGCTCTGTATTCCCCTCCACAGGCCAACGCTGCCCAAGTCCCGGGCAAAGTACGCCGGCTGCTGGAATCTCCTCCCTCCCACGCAAAAGCTACCGCCAGCCTCCTGCTGCTGGAGGAGCCCGAGCTGGCGAGCAAACAGCACATTCACAGCCACAGCTTTTGAAGAATAAAAAAGTCTTAATATCAGTACGACTAACAACTCAACCGATCCCCAAAAGCTTCCTGTGCTGCAATCCCACTGGCCAACAGTCTTCTCATCCCCTCAAACCCTTTTGTTGACGTAGCTGAATTCTGGCAACCAGTTTTCCTCAGAAACCAGAAATTCCTGTCGTCCCTAGGGCTAAGCATTACTGCAATACTGAGAACAGCAAAAACCCACCACTCCTCGGGTCCTGCCCATGTTTCCAGGCCAAAGTGATTGTCTGCTCTTGATTCAGCAGGGATTTCTCCTTTCGTCAGGGGTGAAGAGGGAGGGACAAAGAGAACAATCAGGTTCACCCACCTCTGCTTGCCAGGAGCAGCAGGGAGTTTCGCTTGAGAAATTCCCTGCTATTGCAAGAAGAAATCCCTGGTGCTGCTACCCTCCCCACCAGCAGCTTCTCGCCTCGTGCTACACTTAAAGAGCGTCTGGTCTTTTATGATAGGTGTTACAGCTTTCAGCAGGTTCGGGAGACTTCTCGTAGCCACCACGTTCCTTGAGGCTTCCCTGGACCCTCTAGCACTCTTAACTCAAGGTGCTACAAATTAGACTCCATGACTCACGGACCCTTTTTTTTTTCCTTTTTTTTTTTTAAGACTTAAAACACAATTGTTAGTGTGACTGATAAATTAAGTATTTGTAAAAAATGCTTTGTGTAACAACACTACATAAACAAGCTAGCAGAGCTGAAGTTTTCTAGCTTTATTTCCAGCATTCCTGAAAATCAATCAGATGAGAGCCCAGGTGCACACGCGCCGATTTATTTAACAGCAGTTTCCATCACTTGCAAAGATCTGAAGCAGATTCTGATCATTCCGGAATCCCTACCTGTACACTGAGACTGAAGCCAGACTTCACCACTGAACAGTCTTTGATCTAATGCTGAGGGTTTGGGTTTTTTCCTTAATCTCAAGTGTAAACTGAGATTATTTCATAAATAACAAATCAATTCACAATTAGCTTGGTAAGGGGGACAGAGAAAATGGAAAGGTCTCACTGGATCTTTCTTACTTTGAGTTTCGTTACTTCAGACTGCTCCCTATATGCACCACGTAGCTTCCCTTTATTTAAGCTCAGTTCCATATCCAAAAACAGCCCAAGACCTCCAACCTACTACAACAGCTGTTAACAACGGGCAGCAAGGCTCACACACAGAACAGGTTCTGCTTTCTCATCACTTGGATTTTTCTGTTGGTTTTTTGTGTGTGTGTGTGGTTTTTTTCTGATCAACATAGGAAATCTCTTCACTGCATTAGGTCAGCACATTCCAAGCAGTTCAGTGCCCCAACTCATGCAACATCTGGGTTACGTTTCACAGAAAAGCGCAGGAAACCTCACCTGACTCTGGCAACTCTGGACAATCACTACTCACCTTACAGTAAAGGAGTAAAGCTGCTTTTTTTTTTTTTTAAAGAAAACAGTTAATATATGATTCATGTAAAGCTTACAAACAAACGTTCAGTGGAGTCACAACTATTTTCTTCCATAAGCCTACAAGCACTAATCGCATTCTCTTTCCAGCAAGAATTACAAGGATTTAAGTTAGTGCAAGGGCACTACGAGACTTTACAGATTTAGAGGCAAAAGCACACACTTAATTAGTACCATCTTTCATGCTTTCATTCACTGCTTGATGCACCTAACTGCAGCTTGCGTACATTTCATTTCTCCTTTTATATTGCACAGTTTTCCCCACGTGTCTGGAATTCTCCCCGAAAAAGGCGGGGGGAAATCACCTCAATACACGCAAATAAACATAAAATCAAGAAGACCTGCAACTTGGTAGTTTCCATGCTCCTTCGCGTGGTACGTCTAAGACAAACTCAATGCTTTTGATTAAGCCTGTAACTGATGCGTAGCAAGTTTGGAAAAGAGGATGACTGACACTATTAAATCTACATAAAACGATTACCTCATTCCAGCTAGGTTCCCAAGAAGATTAGTATTATGGAGCTGAACATCCCACTAGAATAAACACACAAACAAGTTACGAAGGAACTGGAATACTTATCCCTAACACATTAATCATGAACATCCCACCCTTCATTTTAACAATACAGTTTTTCCAAGTTACTCTCTTCTCCAGTCGGCTGCCACAGCCCCAGTGTTCTGAGTTGGTGGCGGGGCCAGTCCAGCGGGGACTGGGACTCAGTCTGGGCTGATTTACACAGTTTAGCAGTGGAGCACAAAACATCTTAACAGCCCCGGTGAACTGACTTCAGCTGCTGTGAAGCAGTGTGAGCTTAGACAATTAAATACAAAAGCAGCTTAATGAGCAGGGATACTAATGTATGTGAATAAACAGCTTCTCTGTGTTACAACTTGGTTCCCGCTAACCAGAATGCTTGAAAAGAGGTGGTGATTAAAGAATAGTGGATTACACAGAATAAAAAAACCAAACAAAAATTTTCCCTCCTAATTTTGTCTTCCTGAATTTGCTCCTGTCTGAATTTTTGGTTTACTATTTGGCACGGACATATGCAATACCTAGCAGTTCCGTTGACATTTGTAATAGGGGTAAGGAACATTGCCAGCAGACACACTTACCCACGTAAATAAAAGCTTTTAAAAATAAACCCTGGGAGAATGTATCAGCACAAAAATTATTTTATGCTGCTATTAAAAGAAAGAGTGCTTCTTTTTTTTTAAATTATTTTTAAAAAAATTCAAGTTATTAGCCTCAAACAGGGTTGGAAGTAGAAACCTTATGAATATTTCAAACTACCGCCATACCTCTCCAAGCCCAACTGCAACACAACACTCCTGCACCTCCTGGCAGCCCCCAACACAGTTGTGAAAAAGTTCAAGTCCAAAAGCAACAGGGCTAAGCAGTGGGTTGTCACACCACTGAATAAAACATGTGACATGCCACAGCCAAGTGAACAGAGGGGAAGTCAAGATCGTGGCTTCTCACACTGTGGGCAGGACAGAGCTAAAAACAGCATCCAGTTAATCTTTCGGGGTTTTTGAATGAGTGTCTCAGGAGCAGCAGTTCCCAACTATGCAGCAGAAGTATCCCTGTGATAATTTGAATAAACCGAAACAAGCCCTTTAACAGTCACCGTGACATTCCCAGAGCCTGGGGCTGCACAATCCCCTATATATTCCCTTCAAACTAACAATACGGAGCGCATTCATTAGGAAATGACGTGCCATGAAGATTATCACCTCACACACTGCATGGTGGCCTATACCAGGATACCACCTACAAGCAGACTCCCACGCCACACAGAAGAACAGCCGGTGCCCCACCATGCAGTTTCCTAGGCCACCTGCTTTCTGTCCATGTCCTTTTTACTTTTATTAGTAAATCCTTGTGAGCGCAACTAGGAGTGCAACTTCTTATACAGCTATGGCATTTTTTTCATGTGTAAAGAAAGCCACTGAGAACAAAGCACTGAATCGGCATGTCCTTTTTAGAGTTTCCAAGCACCATACGAGAATCACGTTCCTCCAAAGACAGATTAAATAGGTCAGGAATTTTTTTTAAGTAGAGAAATTCTTAGCAAATGCGTAAGGAGAAGCTGAGAACTCAGCAGAACAACAGGAAAAAAACCCACCGATTCTGGGAAGTGAAAATCGAGCTTGATAGAGAAAGTACTCAGCATTAGTGAAACGTTAGTTACGCTGCTTAAAAAAAAAAATATTAATTTCACCCTGCAACTTCTAACTGTTTTCAAACATGAAGAATGGAGTAATGGACAGGACAAATATTAAGATGCGTTCTCCTGCTCCCCTCGACAAATCCCAGCTGCCCTGCCAGAGCAGGAGAACAAAAAGGAGAAGGCAGAGGGCTTTGGCGCTGCCGCTGCCCGCCAAGCCTCCACTCTCCTCCACCGCCTGCAGCCCTGTTCCGCTGACACCGCTGCCCTTGCCGTGATCCGCTCCCTGCAGAGAACAGGTCGTTTCAGCTGTTCCCTCTGACCGTGCCT